CCTGGTCTGGGGGAGCATCGGGGGGTTCGGGCTCTGCCTCGTTCTGAGCAGGAGGGTCAGCGGGGGCCGGTTGGGCTGCAGGGGGCTCATCTGCTGCTCCCTGACCTGCAGCTTGTGCCTGATAGGGAGAGGAGATAAATGAGTGTGTGTAAATAAACATACTTTTAATACAACACATTCTTCAACAAACACTATAAAACAGTTTGTAACGTGGCCTGCTTGTTTTATCGGCCAGGCTGCGCACCTCATTGGCTTGTCCAGCTCCGTTGGGAGCTGCTGGTTGCTGCTGCTCCAACCACTGGGGGGCGCCGCCATGGACGATCTGTTCTCTGAGCCACACCAGACTGATGAACGCACACAGAGTGCAGGTGACAACAAAGCAGCCCTGCAGACAGTCTGCGAGGAGGTTGTCTCTGCACGAGCACAGCAGAAACCGTTTTAAACACACGGACGGAAACACCTGCAGAAAACTGGAGGACACGGGTTCTGCTTACGTGGAGAGCATGTCCAACGGCAGCGTCAACAGAGAGCTCACGGAGCCCGTAAAAAGACACTTGTAGATGCGACCTGGAAAAGAGCGACCAGGTTAATGCGTTGATGCTGTAAAATAATCATTTATATTTAAATATATGTTTAAAACACTACACGATTTGATTAGGTGATATGTGAAGCTTCTGTCACTGCTGCTTGATTATTAAATGTATCAATACTAGAGCCTGACCAATGTACCAATGTATCAGTAGGGGCTGATATTTTAGGCCGATACACACATACAGGACATATCAGGTCCATTATGTGCCGATATAAACTTCTAATTTTCACCCCTAAAATGCTGCAACCAGCATAAAATGTCCCGGTCCGCCCGTCTGCCGGAATCGGGGTTCGGCCGTCACGATCACTCGAGGCCGGGGTCCGGCCTTCTGCGAGTCAGAAGCTCGTACGATCCACCGTGGTGACCAGCGGAGATCTGAGCCCGCAAGGCCGGGATCCACAGCCCGAGCCGGCAGCACGGAGGATCTTCCACGGTGACCGGTGGAGCCGGGGAGACGACGCCCTGCATGGCCTGAGGGGGCTCTGAAGCTCCAGTGGAGAGGACCGGGGAGACGGGCGGAGCTCCATCTAGCTCGCTCTGAATTTTGTCATTGGCCACCAAGCACAAAAAAAACTGCTTGCATTAGAACACGATGTTGTCATTATTGTTTTTAAAAGCTTAAAAATAGGTCCAGCCGCTCCTCGAGTTCGAACACCGGTAATTGCGAATGGCGGATCGAGGATTTAGAACAATTCTCAAACCCCTCCAGTGACTCGACCCCCTGACCAGTCAGTGACCGACCGCGTTCTGACGTCACGTTTTGGTGACGGCTCGCTTGGTCCCACAGAGGAGAAGGGACCAAAAAAGGTAGCGGTTCCACGAAACAGTGCTCGTGGAAAAGGGCTCGGAAGCGTACCGAACTGAGTCGTGCTGAAGAGGAGCTGTGGAAAAGGGGCTATAATATGACGTGGCAGGTCAGAGCCGGCCCGCGGGCCTTGAGAACGACATATGTGCTTTAATGCACCACTTTAGAACCATGGATTCTTTTACATTTCCATGTGTTTATTTTAACCATTCTTATTAGGTTAACCATCAAATTGTTGAAGAAAAAAAGAAACCACTGTTTGTGGTGCCTACTTACATGCAGTGAGGGGAACCACCCCGAGCCACGCAAAGGCAACCAGTGTGTAATGGAACCAGTAGCGGATGGCCGTGCCCACACTGGTCAGCAGGCCGGCACAGATGTCCTGAATGGGCAGACGTGAGGGCATATCTGGAGAGTAAACTGAACAAAGACAATAAAATAAGAATATTTTCAGAAATACCTTTTTTTTTTTTTTACAGGAAATATGTTTCAAATTTGTGCATCAACAAAAAGGGTCAAAACAGAACAAAGTGAATGGACTCACTTGGTGTGAAAGCAAATCTGTGCTTGCATAATTCACAGTATTCCTTCCTGCTGTGCTTCAGCCATTGGACCAAACTGTAAGGAGAAAATTAAAATGCTTAACTAAAATACAGTTTAACGCATATTTCTGTTTTTGTGTACACATGATCATATTGAGGTAAAGGATCATCCAGTTCATACAGAATAAATAATCTCAAAGAGACAGAGAGAAAAAACTATTTCTAAGTATTTTCTCAAAAGGTTATTATTTATTATAAGCATGTTTTTTAAACATTTGCCTGGAATGTTTTCTGTCAGAGGAGAGTTCCCATACAGGTGTTAAAATGAAACAACTCTGTTGTGAAGGGTTGGAGACGCTGACGACAAAATTTAAATAAGTTTGAGACGCCCATGATGACGCTGTAACACTGTGGAGAGGAGTGTTGCACCGTTTAGTTTTTTACCAAGTTCAAAACTCTAAGGGTGGTGGCACGGTGGCGCAGTTGGTAGAGCTGTAGCCTCACAGCGAGAAGGTCGTCGGATCGAATCCCAGTCTGGGAGCCTATCTGGGTGGATTTTGCATATTCTCTCCGTGCTGCGTGGGTTTTCTCCCACACATCAAAAACATGCATGTTAGGCTGATTGGTAACTCTGAATTGTCCCTAGATGTGAGTGAGACAGTGAATGGTTGTTTGTCTCGTTTGTCTCTATGTGTCCCTGTGATGGACTGGAGACCTGTCCAGGGTGTCCCCCACAACCCGAAAAGGAAGAAGCAGGTAAAGATAATGGATGGATGGAAACTCTAGGGAAAGGAGAAAGCTTGGTACATGCTAACAGAACTAATTGTGATTTATTATTCACAATAGGCTCAGTGGTCTGATTACACGTGATGTATTTACCTACTCAGAGAAAAACGGTAAGCTTTAGTAAGGAGGACAGAAAGACAAAATCTTTCAAGGTAACAACAGCAGTAAAAAACTCACCATTCCTGGTGGATAAACTTGATGCTGCCAGTGCACACACACGGGTGGTACAGGGGTTTCTCTTGGGTCCCCTCAGAGCGACACACACGACAAATATCCGCTAATCACACAATGACAAACACGGACATGTAACGGGTTAATAAACACATAAAGTTCATGTTTGTTCAGTGACCTGACTTCTGTTGTGACTTGGCGCTATATAAAATAAACTGAATAGGTTTGTCTTAAAAATTGTTTTGTACGCAGACAAAACAGTAATTTGAATCTTTTGATGACTGTATTATCAAAGCAGCATTCTAGACTAAGACCATTTCAGCAATGCATTTTACAAGGCAGTTGTGTGAAAATACAAACTTGTTATATTATCCATCACAAAATCCATCACATAAACAGCAAACAAAGAGGTCAAAGGTCAGGAGGTGACATTTCCCTCACAAAATGTAAATACATTGAACAATAAACTCAGATAACACGGGGATGTTTATCTGAAGAACCTTAAACTGCACTTTGATACACCTTTCAGGGAAGTGTATTTGATTACTTTACAACATGTAGTATTGACATCATTATCTTCTGGTCCTTTCCATGCTCTCAGCTTCACAAATATACATAACAAAGACGTCTATGTCACTTCGTGCTTTCCTGATTTATCTCACACAATGATAAAGCTTACCTTCCTCGACGGTATCCATGTTTTTGGCTTTAAACGCCGGCTACTTTCTCTTCAGGAGAACAGTGAACCCATCCACGACACAGCCTACTTTGTTTAGCTAGCTAAGTTAAGCTAGCGACAGTAGTAACCCTTTGCAGCATTGGCAATCAAAATGGTTTCCCGTCAGATTAAACACCGAAGCCTTCCTTGTATCTTTTAACATCCAGTTCGTCTTCGATGAAACACAATATGTTTCTATTTTGCTGTATATTTTGATGTCCAACAACACTTTGGAGGCGTGTGTTGCTAAGACGAGAGCTTAACCCTGAACGATAACAGGCAAGAAGCTAAACCGACTGACGCATGCGCAGACACGTCAATATGACGGTTTTAGTTTGCAGCAGCGGATCTGTTTTACGGCAGTGGGTCATTTTTACGGAGCCATAGCAACAGACAAGTGAATTTAATGCTAGTTGATTCTTCAGTAATAAAATATTTTTTTATCTAACATAACAATTATAAAGACAATTATTAGGTTTATTTCAGTTCATCATTATCTACCCCGCGTAATAAACTCTAACAATATAAAGACGGATTAATAACATGGATATAAGTTAATGCCAGGGTGTGTCGTCACAACGGCGCCGTGGCTTAGTTGGTTAAAGCGCCTGTCTAGTAAACAGGAGATCCTGGGTTCGAATCCCAGCGGTGCCTTTTCTCACCTAGTATGCTTAAAAACTATAAAACAATTATTTTACAGACTAATTTCAGGCTTTACATTAAAAATATACAACTCAAACACAGTTCATTGGTGCGAGTTTTGGTCAGTACTTCAAAGATAATGTATAAAATCACAGTTCACGAAACACATGTTCGACTTGGATGTTGAGTTTTTTGTTGAGTCAGTAAAAAAACCTGATGCGGATTCAGCCGAGTTCAAAAAAAGCTGATAATAATGTTAAACACATTTTGCATTACAGTATCTACTTTGGGACATGAAATGAATGAAGCTGCAAAGCGTAAGTAGGGACGTAAATGTTAATTGTAGTTTTAGAACACGTACCTTTGTGGTCCTTGTAAAATAAACAAATACAGTACAGCATTTGATACTATTTCTATGTTAACATGAGATTCTTGACCTGCCATTGTGTATCTGTTCCTACCGAACCCAGCCTGTCGAAGCAGATGGTTCTGCTAAAGGTTTCTTCCTCATGAGGGAGTTTTTCTTTCCACTGTCGCCTTCATGCTTGTTCAAGATGAGAGTTAAACTCAAAGCTGCTCCTCAGATAAATAATGTTAAATTATTATTTTTATAGATGAATGTTTCTGTTCAGTGCCCTGAGACGACTTCTGCTGTGACTTTGGAGCTTTATTTTTATAAATAAACTGAATTGAAATTGCTTTTATTTTGAAGTCTCAGCTGGAACGTCTTGGCTGGATGACGTCAGTCACGTGACCCAGCATTTATTCTGTTTAGTGGAGTTTCGCTCGAGTCTCTGCAGGAAAAAGGAACGGTAAGTAATGCATATGATTTACTTATTTACGCTTTTTGTGAAGCACACATGCAGTGTTGGTCAATTTTGCATTTTTGTTAAAAAACCTTATAGATTAAAAGTTTTAGAGCTACTTTGCACTTTTCCTTTCGTTATATTGCGCAACACTGTTTCAAGCTGTGCAGTCGTAATAATCATTAAATCACGCTAAGTGAAAAATTGGCGTCATATTTCCTTTAAGAGACTTTTTAACAGGTATAAAAGTCATAAACTGTAAATGTGCATTACTCATATGATGTGATAATCATCTAAAAAAACTTTTTTATTTTTTTACTGTATAGAATGAATGAAATGCGCATTTTATTTTAAACTTCACTAAATATTTCTGCTTTCTCTTACATATAAAATGTTTGTAAAAAACAAATAAAAGCTATTTTATCCAGGGTTACTCTTTTTGTTTCGTCTCTGATGTGGGTCCTGCTTTGTCCAATTCCACTTTTTCTCCTTCTGTAATCTACCTTTTTGTTTTTTTTACCTCAGGACCACCCTTAAAAACACTTAAAAAATCTAACTGTGTACCTTGCATCATGAATTAATGACACACAAAAGAATTGACATAAAAGTCATTGTCATTCTGTTGTGCAAGTCTTTAACTTTTCACGCAAATAAGCCAAACTTTGCAGATTTATTGCCAGATTTGATCTTTTGTCCAGCGTGTCATGTTGACATGCGTGTACTGTCACACACAAGATGTTGTCATGAGGGCACACGGTACGGTTTAAACAGTAAATGATGAGTGATGCCAGCAGAGGCCACGTCAGCAGAATATATGGTGGTTTAGATGAAACCGTTATAATTTGTTTAAATCACTCAGAGTGTAATTAGTCTCAGTTAAGAAATAATCAGTCGTAGTACTAGATTTGTAATTGCATCATCATATTTTCAGGATTTCAGAAACTTTATGTAACAAATACTGTGCAAGTCGCCTTCAAAACGAAGTATTTTCATGTTTTCAGATGGCAAACGAAGCCAACCCCTGCCCCTGTGACATCGGTGATCGGTCCGACTACGGAGGGCTCGGCCAGGAGGTCCAAATCGAGCACGTCAAAGCGTACGTAGTAAAACCCTCGGGTGCGTCAGACAAGGCCGTCGTCGTCATTCACGACATCTTTGGTTGGGAGCTTAACAACACTCGCTACATGGCCGACATGCTGGCTGCTCATGGATACACGTATGTAAAGCTCAACCCTTTATGAAAACACTAACCGATAACACGACTCAGCGATTTGTTGTTTTTTCCTGTTTTGATCCGAGCAGGGCCGTGTGCCCAGATTTCTTTGTTGGGGAGGCAGCGTGGAGTCCAACCAACGACTGGTCAACGTTTCAAGACTGGCTCAAAGACAAGAAACCAACAAACATCAACAAGTAGAAACAGCACTTTCTGTCAAGTCCTACCATGATGCAACTCCATTTCTGCCTTAAATCTCATGCGACTTGAACAAATGCTCACGACAATCCATTTCAGGGAGGTTGACGCTGCGCTCAAGTTCCTTAAGGAGACGTGTGGGGCCAAACGCATCGGAGCCGTGGGGTTTTGCTGGGGAGGCGTCGCCACACACCACCTGGCCCTGCAGTACCCAGAACTCAAGGCTGGAGTGTCCGTTTACGGTACGCCATTCTAACAGCACAACATGCAGCGAACTGTTGAAGTTTCTAATCAAGTTTATTTGTGCAGGAATAGTCCGTGAAGGAGAGGACAGATATGAGCTGAAGAGCCCGACGCTGTTCATCTTCGCAGAAAACGATAGCGTGATCCCTCTGGACCAGGTTAGCGCGCCGCTGTGATTGACACACGGTAGCTTTGATGCAACTTTGATACGTTTGTACCGAAAAATACATTCATGCTGCGGTTTTTAGGTCCGTGCCCTGGAAGAAAACCTGAAGAAGTGCACCGTGGACTTCCAGGTGAAAACATTTCCAGGACAGACTCACGGCTTCGTGCACCGCAAGAGGGAGGACATGAACGCCGCCGACGAGCCCCAGATCCAGGAGGCCAGAACAGACATGCTCAACTGGCTCAACAAGTACATGTGAAACAGCTCGTGTCTGCCGACGCTGCTGAGCAAACTCTATCCATCATCGTTAATGAAAAGGTGCTTTGGAGACCGTGTCAAGTTATATTGTTAATTCCAGTTAACACTTGAGGTTTTTAGACAAGTGATTAGAAACGTTTCAGTGTAGTTTCTGTCCTGTCAACGACCACCAAACCACGTTTTAGCTCAGTGTCTGTAAAATCCTGAGCCGTTTTTTTTGCAGGCTAAGATCAATGAGCTGAACGGCCATCTTGAACTGATTGACAGTAATAATGGTCTACCTTTGCCAACATGTGAATAAATCTGATGTGGACTAAAAACTGAACACGTTCTGCATTTAATACAATAAAATGAAGGTGTAGACATTTCAACAGACCAACATTTTATTGATGACTTGGCCACTAACAGAACATTTCTGTATCAAATGATAAATAGCACTAAGCAGTGAGGTTTGGGGTTCGGGCGTGGAGCAGCTGGGCTGCTGCTCTTCAACAGCGGGCCTTTAGTCCTCGACCTCTCCAGGGTTTCGGATGTCGTCTATCTTCAAGATCATTTTGACCACCTGAGTAGCCAGTAGAATCTGCTGTTTCTTGCCAATCAGGGTCTCGATCACATGCTGCTGCTTCATGTCTGTACAGGAGCAAACGAAGCCTCAGAATTCATCATGTCTTGAACACAAAGGTTGATTTGTTGCATTTGGTCATGTTGACACATCGGAGTTTAAAGCATTGAAGAAAAGCCTTTTTTTTTTTTACCATTTGTGTTTTTCTGGAGACAGTCGATGCCAAGGAAGGGGTTGTTCTCTTTGACTTGTCTGGCTCGGACCTCTGTCATGGTCTGGATGGGGTTCAGCCCGCTGTTCTCAGCCAGCGCCATGGGAATGACTTCCAGAGCGTCAGCAAACAGCCTCATGGCGTACTGCTCCAAAGACGGACACTGACAAAAACAGAACACGGATCTGAGCACTTCACACAAACTTTATATAAATCCAAAGGTTTTGTGCTGCACTAAAGGGTTTCTAAAGTTCCTCACCTTATCTGCAGCCTGGTTCACAGCAAGAGCGCACGCAATCTCTGAAGCTCCGCCTCCGTACACAACACGGTTGTCTCTGACCAAATTACGAATTACACACAGAGCATCATGGAGAGCGCGTTTGGCCTCCTCGATGATCTGACGAAGACACAAAGGACTGACTAAATAGACGTGCGCCAACGTGAACGAGTGGTTTCACTGGGATTGTTAAAAATTTACCATTTTGTTACCCCCACGGATGAAAATGGTTACAGCTCTGGAGTTTTTGCACTCCTGAATAACCAGCATACGGTCCTTGGTTGTGCCAAATGAGATCTCCTTCACCAAACCAGCCGTGCCGAGCTTCTCTGTTGTGAGCTCGCAGAACCTCGGCACAATGCGGCCTCCTGTGGCTATCGCGATCAGCTGCAGGAAACATTACATCAAATTAAGTATAACCACACTACTTTACCCTTTTTCAATACGAAGTGATGAAGACGCATCCAAAGGGCCAACCGCATGCTAGAACTTCTCGTACCTCAATCTCTGGCCCTCCAACCCAGCGAATGGCAGGCAGCTCCCGTTGCAGCAGCAGGTGGTTTGCCTCATCATCAAAGCCCCACTGGCAGATGGCCAAGTTAGCCCCCGTGCTTTTGACCTTAAATTAAAATGCAATGTTTTATTTTCACTACATGAACCAACAAGAATGCCTTTGTGTCCAAAACATTGGTAAAGTGAGCAATAACCTGCTGGATCATCTCCTCAAACTTGTCTTTTTCGTATTTCTGAAGAGCTTTGTAGTCCTCCACTGAGGTCACATCCAACTTATGCTTGGTCTTGGGTTTAGGGGGCTCAAACGGGCAGGTCAGAATAGCAATTTTAGCATCTTTGAGAACCTGATTAAAACAAACAGAAGTGGTTAGCCCAGGTATGGTAAACTTGCATTAACATTTACCTTACACATGTTAAAGCAATACTTAATATGTTAAAGCAACATTTTTAAAAGGTATTCATACCTTGGGCATCTGAGGATGGCTGAACTCCTTGTCCACTATGACTCCCTTGATGAGCTGTGTGTCCTCCAACTTTCCTCCCACTTTGCCCTCCACCTTGATGAGCTCAAAGTCTACATCCTTCCTTTCCATGTCAGCCACAGTGAGGATGGCATTCACTGCAATCTCTGCCATCTGTCTGTGGCACCGGTTGATACTAGAAAATGTAATTTTAAGAGGTTTTAGAATGTCCCACCAAAGCCTGAGTGCTAAAAGACATATAAATCTTAATGCCGAGCATTTGTTTTCACTATTAAGTTAAATAGTTCTCCCTTAAACACCAGCATAGTCAAATGTGTGCATGTCGATGTATTTAAAAAGTGAAAATACATTTGACAGTTATTGTTAAATGCATGGAATCAGCAGTGCATGAAAGCTGCGACGGCTTACACTTTGGACCCTAGAGTTGTCATAGCTGTCTGAATGAGTGGTTCGGTGTTGTTGGGATCACAGGGGAAAGTTTCTCCTATCTTGTCCAGCTGCTCTATGGCCACGCGAGCAGCTTGATCATAACCATCGGAGATCCTGATGGGGTGGATTCCACGGTCCAGCAGCTGCTCGGCCTGTTCAAGCAGCGCTCCAGCCAGCACTAAGGAGGCAGAAGAAAAAGAAAACAATGACTTGGAATAGGAGCCGCAACAAACCTGACAATGTGAAGCATGGCAGGAGTATTTTAAGTAATATATTAAAAAAAAATCCATTTTATTTAAAACACTTGAACTTAAATAAATAAGAATATCCCATGATTGTTTACATTAGTTAAAATGCAGAAATTACCAACAACTCCAGTGGTTCCATCACCAATCTCATCGTCTTGGGACTTCGATAGCTCCACCATAAGCTTGGCAATTTGATGGTCCACGTCCATCATGCTGAGAATAGTGGCTCCATCGTTAGTGACAGTTACCTCTCCATCCCTGTCAACCATCATCTTGTCAAGACCTAATATAAAACACAGCAATGCGAAATGTTAAAATTCACAGTAATGAGAATGTCCTAGTCAAATAATAACTCAAATAACAGGTTTGGTTCATACTCACCATTTGGACCCAAAGATGTTCTCAATGTTGAAGCCACAGCCTTGGCTGCCATGATGTGGGACTGTAAATACAGAACAGCACATATTGTCATTGTTTGTCCTCACCATTAATACCTAGTTATCCGTGATGTTCCTGTAGAGGTGATTGATGCAAATCACCAATGACCATTTAGGGAACGGTGCTCCCAGCTACACCCACTGGCTGAACGCACTGGGAGCACATGGGCCTCCGTGTTAGCATGAGTAGCTTAAATGGCTAATGCTAATCTGCTGCTTGTACACAGTTAGCGCTTACAAGAGAAGACTTTATAGATGTATGTATGGACTCCACTTCCTACTCAAGTGATTAACAGCAAATTAATAACTTGTTAAACCATGCCGCCGCAGTTCCGCTAGCTAGTCCATTGTACCTTCAGAGCATCAATGCCCGACAGACGCGTCTTCCTGTCCTGGTCCTTGATGATGATGAACGGCCTCCCATATTCATCAAAAGCCAAAGTGCCCAAACTGGACATGTTGAATGAAGAATTTGGACTCGCAATAAGAGTTGAATGAAGAGAATAAAGGCTTTAAATGATGAAAATCTGGAGTGTGGCTAAGCTGCAAGTCGCACGGGTCTGCCGGCGACTTCTGGAAGGCTCCACGGGCGGGGAGGGCGCAACCAAATGCGGCTACCCGTGCCCCGTTGGACGGTAGAAAACATATTTATATAACTTTAATACGTTTAATCAAACGAAAATTTGATTCGACGTGGTTTCGTACAATTACAGCCTTATCATAAAGCACAACTTAAAGCGTATAACTGAAATGTGATTTCGAGACTTGGTTCGTTCTGATCTCGCAAGAGTTCAGTTTGATCTCGCGAGAGTTCAGTAAAACCTAACCCCAGATGGTGATAAAAAAATTGTTGACGTGAGGCTTTACAGCAGTTTCGTACAGGTAGAAATGCTCCCCCATTTCTTTATTGCATACATTTGTTTATTTTAACTGAAGTCACAGTTTAATACGTATAAACAAGGTACTGTTCGCACGACATGAGTCAAGTTAGCAGCAGAACCGGACTGCTATTAGCTTTCTGTTCGAACATTAGCTCAAATGCACGTGCGCTCTTACAGTGACTAACGTCAACTTTTGACGCAACATCCGGGTATTTCTGTTATGGTGGCGTTCAGAGCGCCGTGCTTCTTTGGCAGCAGCCTGTCTCACTCCCAGTAGTTGGTAAGATTAAAAACTTTTAACACACAGCTTGCTGACTAATTCGACTGACTGAAATTTATCTCTGTCACACTTTAGCGGCAATTATGTCAATTTATACACCTTGTTAGACAAAATACTTGTAAACCAATAAGTAACTAGTAGTAGCACATTTAATGTAATGTTGGTAAACAAAGGCAGATGATGTCTTCTTAAACCAATAACACATGTTTCACTAGCTTTTTTAATTGCCTGGTGTTATGTATTTGCCTATGTTAACCTGTTTACCAGCAAGCCTGCATAAAAGTTAGTGTATATACAGGAAAACCAAATAAAAATGATGACATGATGCGCTCGTACTTTAACACTGCAGTAATAATCAACTATAACTCATGTGTGTGTTAAGAAACAGCATTGTTTCTGACTTTTCCAGCATGCCTTGTGAAGTAAAGCCGCGGTTTCTGGTGCTATATGGGTCTCAGAAAGGTCAAGCTCAGTCCATAGCTGAGGGCATAGCTGAAGAGGCTGAGGAACACGGACTGGCTGCTGATCTGATCTGCTTGAACCAGAACGACAAGGTACATGCCAATTATTAGACGTTGTAACAGAGCTATTCTTCTGTATTGACTCTTACACATCAGTTACAGCATCTTGTCACCTTGTCACTGGTTCCAGTACAATTTGGAGAGAGAGAACGCCCCGGTGGTCTTTGTTGTGTCCACCACTGGAGATGGAGAACCACCAGACAATACTCTGCAATTTGTAAGATGCATCAAGAAGAAGACCCTTTCCCCTGACCACTATAAACACCTTTGCTATGCACTTTTAGGTAAATTCTTTTATGGGAGTCAGAGGTAGTCTGTTTGTCTGTCAGTCTGGGAGCTTACATTTGCAAAACACATTGTTGTAATTCATTACAATGCAAACCTCTGTTCCTGGAGAATCATCTGTGTTTGCTCTGCCTCAGCTTTAGGAGACACAAATTATGCAAATTTCTGCAACTGCGGGAAGACAATTGAACGTCGTCTTCAGGAACTCGGAGCTAAACAGTTTTATCCGACAGGATATGCAGATGACGGTTTAGGGTAAGTTCTGTCGTGATCTTATTACAGAACTCTGTTACTTTTGTTTCCGCTGCTCATTATATCTTCTTGATGGCTTTAGGCTGGAGGTGGTTGTCGACCCTTGGCTTGAAGGACTGTGGAGTGCCATCAAAGAGGTTTTATCTAAAATGGCTTCTCTTTTGAAGGAGAATGAAGAAAATTCAGCCACAGACATTCCTGATTTGTCCACACCAGACGTCCAGCTAAACGCTTTAAGCATCACAGATCAGCAGAACTGTGAGCCAGTCAAACCGTCTCTAAGCTCAGACTCTAAATATGCGTCTCCTCCAGCCGTTCTTGACCTCAGACCAGCTTCTTTATCGGGGAGTGCTGGCTTGGAATCCAGATTCACCGGCGGCGCTGCACCAAAAACTCAGATCTGTAATGACGAACTGGCAGCTTCACTGACGGTCTCCCTGCCGCCACTGTCCGAGTCCTCCCTTCATGTTCCTGCTCTACCTCCTCCTTATTTAGACGTTTTCGTTCAGGACGTGGACTCTGTGGAACAGGTGATGAACGTTGCAGCTTAAAAAATCCACTGAACTTTACTTTGTGATGGAAATATATTCTCTACTGATCTGCTTCCTGGTACATTCAGTATTGTTCTACCATATTAAGAACCTTTATAATCCTTTTGTTTAAGGTCTCTGACTGATGTTACCATGTTATTTGGTATAACTCAGTGAATCTAGGGTCAGTGGACTGCTGGTTAGATTCTTATTACGTCCTCGTAAGAAACCTGGAAAATGTTTTCTTTTCCGCCGTCTGGGTTCAGTTCTGAAAGGTGAAGAGGCCCAAAGGGTTTTCTACAAAACACAGTTTCATTCCAGGAAGCCAGAACGGGTCAGGAACAGGAAAAGACATTAAGTTCTGTACTTGTGATGCTTTGACTCTGAGTTTGGCTGTTCTCCACAGCTTTGATGAAACCTACACCCGATTGTGAATCATTTTATTTCCCACAACACTTCTCATCTCAAATGTTTTTCCAGACTATGGGGCCATTAAACCAAGAGACTTTTCATGAGGTACCTGTATCCAGGGCAGTTCAGCTGAGCAGAGGAGACTCGGTCAGGACAGCTCTTCTAGTGGAGCTGGACATCTCTGTGAGCTTCACAGAATCATCATCATTATTGTGATTACAAGAACACAAGTCTTAATCACAAATTGATTTTCTGGCATTGCTCTTTCATCTCCAGGCTCATCCGACGATGAGCTATCAGCCCGGGGATTCTTTTGATGTTTTCTGCCCAAACAGGGCTGAAGAGGTGGACGAGATGCTCTGCAGACTGGGCCTTCAGGACCAAAAGAACCATCGTGTTCTGATCACTCTGAGGAAGGACACAAAGAAAAAAGGCAAGCTCAAGTCTTATGGATCATGTGTTTTCACATTCAGCTGTTTAGAAAACTCACGTCTGATAATTTGTTGTTGTTTCTGAAAGGCGCCCAGTTGCCGTCCCACATCCCTCCGAACGTTTCCCTGCTGTCCCTGCTGACATGGTGCCTAGAGATCAGAAGCGTGCCTAAAAAGGTACTGAAGTCCAAATCTAGCTCGTCCTCTGTGCCCAACAAAAGCCAGACTTTGTAATGAGACATCCTGCTTGAAGTTTTATCATAAAAAAGGAAGAGCGTCTTTTTTCCCTTCAAAGCACCGACTCGTTTGTCAAAGCTGGAGGAACCTGTATCATTATTTATGTGGAAGTGTAATTAAATTTAGTCGTTTCAGCATCGATATTCTTCAAAGAAGCCCACCGGTCCTTTAGAATCGTGGGCCGATGTCGAGGCTCAGAAGATTTACAAAGGTTCAGAGGTTGGCTGGGTAAGTGCAAGGAATGAGTAGATTTACCAAGTCCAGGCTCAAATATTCATTAAACCTTGCTGCTCCCCCGTGGCGGTGTGGAATTAAAGTCACATTTGATGTGGGAGGATGTCAAATGGTGGCAGTCCTGAGCTTTAGGTGGAGCTGTGGTCTGAACTGGTTTCAGCTCGTTCTGCTGCTGCAACATGGCCAATGTTAAACTGAACTCCTTCCTTTATTGTTGCATTTAATTAGGAAGTGTGTAACATCAGTTTAAACTGTAACCATACACTCAACTCAGTTGCTTTCAGGATTGTTGGGAAAGATCTGAATGACCTGGAAATAGATGTAGGACTAGTTGTGGTTGAGGAGAGAGTGGTCGGCCTCCAGCTGAGGGTCAGCAGCTGTAAACCAGCTCCTCCAGCTCCTTGGTGAGAGTCAACCTCAGGTTGCTCATTCAACAATATGCCAGCACAATCTATACATTTTTAAAATGTGCTGGTACATTGAGCAATAATTGCTCATGTGGGCTCGGGCTTCTTTGATGCGGTTTTACGAATAATGTGTTAATCTACTTTGAGGCAGGTCCGACTGGCCGGTAGAGGTAAAAAAAAAAAAAAAAAAAAAATCCTTTTAAGCTTCAGATGGATCAGCTGATCACCAACCACGCACGTCCACCAAAAGTTAATCTCAGATGAATCAGCAACCGGCTGAGTGTGTCTCTGCACCTGCTGTCATCTGCAGTGAAGGAAGTAGGAACATCGTACAGGGCTGGTTCTAGGCAACGTGAGGGTAGGGATGCACCGATCCACTCCCCCCCCCGCTCCATCTTTGGTGGAGGTCTGGGTCGGTGGACCTCTCGGTTCTACAGAGACGAGAGTTAGAGGCTGGACTTTGAATGTTCTTTGGAGAACAAAAAGGCAGTCACTAACCTTCAGTCAGGCAGAGAGCAGACTGACAGGTGGATCCGATGAGGTCACCAGCTGCAGCAGAGCAGGAGAACTGTGCAGCGTGAGACGTTTGGGCAAATCCAGGAACAAGGTCCAGCAGAGCAGTCCGAGGTCATACACAGGTGGTCAGAAAACCTTATCCAGATCCAGAGTACAAGGCACGAGGAAGAGTCGAGGTGAGGAAGAGTAAAGTCGTTACTGTGATCAGAGAGGGAGATCCAAATCAAGCGGGGGATAAGCAAGGTGAGGAAACCAAGAGGTCAGAACCAGGAAGTCAAACAAGGCTGTGACATGAACGCTGGACATCAGCTGCTTGGAAAAGTTCAATAATCAGTCACTGGTGGACGTGGAGCTTAAAGGCAGGTGAACAGGTGAAGCTGATGAGCGCTGATTGCTGTGGAGGAACAAGGGAGGCGTGGCTTAGAGGGAGCAGGCTTGAGCTGAAGGATGGGTGACAGGCAAACACATGGAAACAGGAAACTATGGCAGGAAGTGGCAGAAACGTGAGGTATGGCAGCTGACTTGGGACCAGAAAATTGTAGGTTCAACTCCGGCCATGCCCACATGTTGTGGTGTCCTTGAGCAAGATAGCCCATCCCTAATTGCTCCCGGGCACCTACAAAGCTGCCCACTGCTCCACCTGGGTGCATCTCAGGTGTGATGGGTTAAACGCAGAGAACTAGTGTTTTCATTGTATAGAAACATACGATGATGACAACACACAGCACTTTATTTTATCTGCAACTAAATGGCTTTCAAAGCCGACTCGTCATCATGACACGGTTTGACAACAAGACAACTTTAGTTCTAAACTCTGGCCTGGAAGGTAGCGGGCGACATGCATTCCTTCCAGGAAAGACAGACTCTTAATTAATTCAGTCTTTAAGTGAAGTAGCAGTGAACCTTCTGCGCTCGCGGAGCGTTCTAGAGGATGATCATTGTTCCAGCAGAACTTCTAACCACACACACGGCACATAATGAGCGCTGACGACATTTAGATCACTTGGCCATGACTAATACTTGGATGCTCTGATTACCGTATCGAGTTGATTCACTGGAAGAGAATGAAGTCAAATGACTCTTAGTTTCCTAAGGAGGAATATTTGAGCATGTCTCCGTCAGTTCTGTAGTCTTCTCATTGTAAGCACGGCTAACAGTCGGACAAGCAACTAATGAAATGACAACGAGCTGTAAACTGAATATGTTTTGTGTCTAAACTTTACTTTAGTTTAGTTGTGGCAGATGTGCATGTGAAACATCTGTAACACATAACTAATTTGTAGTCAGGGTCTTCCTCTTCAGTTTCCAGCATCATATTTGATTAACTTGTGTAAAGTTTATCATGAAGGTTCTTATTTCTGCTGTCAGTACGTTCAGTTGTTGTGAGTTTGAAGCTGAGAGCTGACGGAGGCTCAGAGCGGCTTCGATTGAGCTCACGTCACTTTCATGTGTCTACGAAGGCTTTTCTGCGAGCGCTGGTGGAGCACACAGCAGATGGAGCGCAGAGGAGGAGACTGCAGGAGCTCTGCAGCAAACAAGGCGCTGCCGACTACAACCTGCACGTACGAGATCCAAGCCTCGGCGTTGTGGAGCTCCTCGCCGCCTTCCCGTCCTGCTCGCCTCCTCTCAGCCTCCTCGTAGGTCAGAACAGCTGTTTGCTCACACACACCAAGTAACCCGGCTCAACCTGTCCTCCTTTCACACTTTATTATACAGGCTTCACAGACAATAAAAACATCAGACAATTAATAAAAATACATTTTATGTTAAATGTTTTGTACATTACATCACACCGTGTATCCAAACATCTACACATATTATCGATCCAGTGACTATACATGAAGCATATTCTAGTTAAGTATTTATATTGTTTTGTATATAGATATTTAACGGAAAGGAGCCATGCATCAATGATTGACATCAGTGTGGGACTTTTGCTGAACAACTATTTATAAAACTTAAAAAACATGAACAAATCAAGTGGAGTTAAAATTATTTGTTTATTTAGTTTGTACTAACACTTTTTTTGCCCACCAGTTTGGTCATTTTTAAACAGTTTTGCTGTTACAATTATACAAAAAACAATGCTTCTTTTCATAATTCTTAATGTTAGTCATAGTAATGAATGTCCAGTAGGTGTCGCTGCAGCTTCATAATCTTTCTGCACTCACTGTCCTGGTAATTTTATTGCCACAGCATTTATTTAAACTCGTTAAACACACATCTTTGTGAGTCCACGCTGCTCAAAAGGACTTTTATGTCCTTTTTCTTTATTGTTGCTTCAAGAGCATATTTGTGTGTTTATTTATGCTCTCCCTTCCAGTAAAAAATAAACTTTTTTTACTCCTTTGGGAGTCGTCTCATGGCGGAGAGCTAACATTTAGTTTGATGTCATTAAGACAGCCGGCTGGTCAGTCACCTGAGATCCTCATAGGTTTGGAGTGAAACTTGGCGGACAGTGAAATGAGCTGGCTGCAGCTTCACGAGTCCACTTGTCCTCTAAAACAGCTGCGTCACAGCTCGTGGCCTGCACCAATGTCGGTTATTTTAGGCCTGCTTGCCAACCACAGCACCTTTTTTCCTCCAGTGGTGAACGCATGCAGAACTCGGGCAGCGGTCCCGTCGTGCCCCCGTGAAAAATGTAGCGTGGAAGTCCCTGCAGGGTAGCAGCTGTTAGCCGGTTTACTGGTGAGCCTCGGAGCTTTGCAAGGACGAAATGTGCAGGGTCGGAGGTTAACGGTCAAACCTGACTCAGTGCGTCTCCGTTAAAGTGCACGGCTGCATTTTTTTTGGTCTGTGCTTGGTTCATTAGCGCTGAAGGAGAGGTGTTCGCTGGTCGGAGCGCCACTAACTGTAAATAACGAGGAGCCCAGATGTCTGCAGCCTTCGCAGGCTTGGTATAAACTGAGAAAGATGGCTGCCTCCTGGAGCCATCTCTCCTGCTACGAGTCATTGTTTTACAAGTTGTCAGTTATAAAGTTTGGGGTCACGACCCCTTAGAAACGAGCGCTCTCCACGAGCATCGTTTTTAGTTTACGCTGCTGCAGGGCTCGGAGGAAAATGTGCAGTTTTCTTCTTTTATGTGAATAATTCATTGAGCTTGATCGTTACATGTGGGACAATGTAAGCCAGAGTAAAGTAAGGTGAATATATTATGACCCAGTCTACCTCCGTCTTATGTTCACAGAGAAAACGGGATGTATTCTGCTCTTTTATTAATATCAAAATTTGCATTGAAAATGTTAAAACATTGCTTTTAACAAACCGCAAGCTTGCAAATGTTAAAGCCACTCAAATAGTTTGAGATTTGCATTTTCACTTTTAAAAATGATACAAACCTTTCCAAGAAAGATGATTTTTAATATGCAATGCTAAAAGCCTTCCTCATTTTATACGCAGCCAAAAGTCTCCATAAATCTTACAGAGGATGAAACTTTCAGGCTCTTTCTCTCTCGTCTTGATCTAAATCAGATCATGTTTTAGTGCAGCGTGATCGATGCGAGCCCTGAAAGTGATCTTTGTATGAATGTATGATAGAGATCTGGACACAGAAGTTCTCTTTTAATTTTCAGTATATTCTTTAATCTGCGACAGAACAAAAACGAGCTGTAGAAGTCGGTGCGGCATCTTTTTACTGCCTGCTGTATCGCCGGGCCTCTGATGGGAGATGATGGATGGATTGTGCTCCGCTTCAGACTCGAGCTGTCACATTGTGATAGAGAGGCATCAACCGGAGCGCCACGCAGGTGCACGGGATTGTGTTAACGTCTGCGAGACACTTCTGATGGAGAGGTGTGCGTTTCCACCGGAGGAGAAGCTTGGCTCAAATGTGGAATATATGATGTCAGTCTTCTGGGAGAAACGGCGTCTTTTTGTTTGAAAACATTTTTAAACATGAAAAATTGATTTTCCACTCTCTTGGTTTAGCTCCATCCATCCATCCATCCATCTGCCCGCCTGCCCGTCCGTCCGTCCATCCATCCATCCATCTGCCCGCCCGCCCGTCTATCCATCCATCCATCCATCCATCTGCCCACCCGTCCGTCCATCCATCCATCCATCCATCCATCCAT